AGTAGCATATTGGCTGTTTATTAGTACTTATAAAGCACATATTAATGCCTTATTCTGCATGGCTGTATTTTAGATCCCTTAATCCACCCATACCTAAACTTAACAACGACCTTACTAACTATTAACAAGCAGCAAATTAGGAGTTTGAGGCAAAAGTCCTAGTTAATAGTGAATATGTTTTCCCTTTTCTAAAGTGTTACCTGAAATTCAAAACCAACTAAAGACACCATTACTAGAAAGTGTCAAACAGAAAAAAAAAAATATATATATATATATAAAATCTAAAATAACTTTACACAGGCTAATAAAGTCTTGTTGCTATCCTTTAAAATCTGCATTAATATCAAGTTTTCAACGTTTTTTATGCCATATCAAGCATTTAACGCTGAATTCATGCAGTCCAACACCACTCAAACCAAATATGATCCACAATAAATACCAAATATTTCAGAGCAAGTGTCCCAGAGTAGATAATGGACATACTTAGACATGCCCTTGATGCAGATGGCCAGGTCCTTGGTCATGAAACCAGCTTCAATGGTCTCGACACAAACGGCCTCCAGTGCCTCAGCAAACACCCGCAGCTCTGCGTTCTTATCCAGCTCTGCCCGGTGTGTCAACTGTTTGGTTACCAACATTCTTCAAAATGTCTTGCTTTGTATTTAATAGTTGAAAGATAAAAGAAAGTCATATAGGTTTGAAACAACTGACATAATTTTCACTTTTGGGTGAACTATCCCTAGGACACTCACAATGGGTACATAAGAACAAGAATAAGGGTGAGTGTGTGTATATATATATATACTGTATATATAGCTTAAAAGTGTATAATTCATAAAAAATTCTCCCCTTTGTGTTCCAAAGAAAGAAAGCTATACAGCTTTGGAATGACATGAGGGTCTGTAAATTATTGGGGGGAAATATACATTCAAACTGCTATAACACTACATAATGGAACAGAATGGAAGGATGTGTATGAAAGGAAGAGAAATGACCAGTTGTGCTCCGCTTTGCCTTATTAGTAATTATGAAAAGCTGTTTGTTCATTCTGTGAGCTTGGGCCGCAGCCAGTGCAACATATTAACTCGTCACGCATACATGATCACTGAGACAGAGCAAGAGAGAGAAATGGAGCGAGAGGAAGAGAAAGGGGTATTTGAGTATAACATCAGAACAAAAAGAAAGAAAAAAGGAATAATTATAAAGATACATTTTTCAAATTATGTGCAGAAGTGTGTTGAAAGACACACACCAACGCAAAACGACACAGTCTGCTGGAGGGCAACAGAGTGAGAATCTGAAATGGAGAGTGACATTAAATGTTCAACGTGTGCAAACAGTACTGTACCGCTCTCTCGCCATACTTCAGATGCGACTGACTTCATCATCTCCACCCCTGGCAGCATTGACAACTGAAGGTCCAGCTGTACTGGCAGCCAATTCCAGCTTCTTCTTGTCAGCTGTAGAAGGGTTTTAAAGATGTTATAAACTAAAAATGATCATAATACCATATATTATTTGATGTTCTTTTCTAAATAACACATAGTTATGAACACTGATGCTCACAAAACTGACTAGTACGACATTCACCAACAAATGTTCTTCAAAAGAACTTATATCACAATATATGTGAACAAGGTAAAAAGTCATGGAACAGGATAAGAACAAAGACAGATTTACATTTCTTTAGGTAGAAAGGTTTGTGTCCCTGGCCAACCAACTCTCTCTGTTTCCGCTTGAACTGAAGTTCCTTTTCTCTTTCCTGCTCTTGCCTCTGTCGGGCCCTCTGCTGGTTTTCCTGTTGTACACACACACACACACACACACACACACACACATACATACATAAAGATAATCCAGCTTTTGTTCCTTTCTTAAAATGTTCAAGGCTCTTGTTAAAGACTGGGTTTAAGGAGGTTTTTAGCAGAGATGGGATTAAGGGTTTTTATGTTGGAAACCAACAGAAGCATCAAGCTTTTTAAGGAGTTTTTAGACTAAATGAGTTTTAATTTTTCAATGAGATGTGACTGACCGTGTGTAATTAAACAAAAGCCAAAAGCTCCATCACAAGTGTAATCATGCATGAAATGAGACAGAGAGAGAGAGAAGAGAGAGAGGTCATTTAGTAAAATAACATTTTGGTGCATTAGAGCAACTGTCACACAAAACCGGCTGCTCAGAATGATACTCGATAAAGCAGAAGTACATCATGATGTGTTCCTCAAACTAAGCGAAAAATCGCTGCTTACAGAAATAAATATTTGTTGTCATTCACCACTATCTGATATTAAAGCAATAAGCCACAGGAAGCTGTGCAATAGTAATTTTACCACAGTAAGGGGTGTTGTTAAGATGTGGATCAGTCTCTTACCATCTAAAATGATGGCAAATAAGATGATATAAATGATAAATGTTAGCTGCATTCAAATATGGAACCTAACTGAAATGAGTGAACATGTTGAATATGTCAAAATAACTCAACACATATGTTTTTGCAATTTCCCACCAGAATTCTATTAGTATAAAAAATGGATTCAGTACCACCATGAAAGACATGGACAACATCTTAGTGATAGTGATGTTCATAACTATTACTAGGAATGTCTATTATCGACTGACATTGGATGAAGAGAAAGTGTAAGTGTTTAACAATGTAATTTTTACAGAAAAAGTAAATGCTGCAGAAAAAAAACTGTTAATCGGGTAGCTTGCCATTTATGCACGTTTAACATAGCAATATGTAATTTTACTATAAAATACAATCAAATTTTCAGTGAAAAACAGTAAAAGGACATTTCCAGAAGTTCCTGACACATTACATATTATGTTTAATATAAACAATTTAGTCTCTTCTCAGTCATCAGTAATGTATGTAAGTGTGTTTGTGTTACATCTTGTGTTATTTAGTTAATGTTTAATGCATTATTTTGCATGACTTTGTATTGTGCTTCCTGCATTATTGCAGTTACTAGTGCATTTTAACCTGTTAGCATTCCACTGCACTGCCCACAGTACTCTGCATGTTTTTGAGGGTTAACTTCGTGAAATACAGCAACTCAAAAAAAAAAAAAAGCTAAGCATGTCACATATATTTGGAAAACTGCGATTTTTGTGATTCAAATGATGCAAACTATTTGTGACCCTGGACCACAAAACCAGTCTTAAGTTGCTGGGGTATATTTGTAGCAATAGCCAAAAATACATTGTATGGGTCAAAATTATTGATTTTTCTTTTATGCCAAAAATCATTAGGACATTAAGTAAAGATCATGTTCCATGAATATATTTTGTAAATGTCCTACTGTAAATATATAAAAACAAAATTTTTGATTAGTAATATGCATTGCTAAGAACTTAATTTGGACAACTTTAAAGGCGATTTTCTCAATATTTAGATTTTTTTTGGATCCTCAGATTTCAAATAGTTGTATCTCGGCCAAATATTGTCCTATCCTAACAAACCATACATCAATGGGGAGCTTATTTATTCAGCTTTCATATGATGTATAAATGTCAATTTTGAAAAATTGACTCTTATGACTGGTTTTGTGGTCCAGGGTCACATTTTATAATAAAACCAATACAGCAGGTACAATCAGTGTCTTTGTCAGACCACCAACAAGGCTTCATGCTGTGATCCCATTGTGTTTTACAGCGAATAGCTCCCAGCTATAGTCATCTGCAGGCATCTGTTTACTTTAAAACAAAAAATAAAATAGTAGGCGGCATGTTTTTTCCGTTTTCAGTGTGTTTAAAGTTATATTACTCAATACCAGCAAGACAGTGATTCTGGGGTATGTTCTGTTTAGGAACAAACCTCAGAGTGTCACCATTCAAAGGAGACCAAAAACCATGCATATACTCCCAATGGTTCAAGAACAGCATGCAGTTTACTTGTATTCCTTTTTTAGGCGTTTTAGGCAAACTTTACAGGAATGCTAAGGGGTTAAAGTAAAATAAGATTTTAGTAGTTAAATTATGATGGAACGGCTGCCTCCACAAATGTGTGAATGGAAGAAGTGACTATACAGGGTTTCCCATGATTCCCATGAACTTGTCGTCCCCAGTGACACTACACAGGTCAACCCCTCATCCTCTCAATTTATAAATAGCTTTACTCTAAACAGCATGAAATAGTACACTCTCTTATACAAACACTCTGACCAAAGGCCAATAAAATTTTCCAACCAATGTGTATTTTCTCTTCTTATGGAGAATGAAGACCCCTGTGACAGGAAGTCAAAGTGTGAGAGGAGCAGACATGAATTGTTGTGGGATTACACAGCATCCCTGTGACCTTTGGTTCACATACTCTGCAGCCTATACTGCCTCTTTCCATTTTGTTTTTCCCAAGATTTTTTTTTCTTGACTATTTCCATCATTGTATCACATAGTCAAGGAATATTATAGGAATGTGAATAAGATTTTTATCAAAATTTCAATCATTATTTGGAATCAATCCCAAAGGATTCTTCTGGATCAGTAAAGAATCATTTCAGAATCAATAAGATCCTAAAGAATAAAATGAAACACATTTTCCCATTTATTCTTTCATAACTTCTCTCTATCCAGTAGAAACATATTTGATTCATAGTGGATTCATAGGTTGCATAACCTTCCATCTGAACCCAAGATTAGGAAAGAGTGGATTACTGCTAAAATATTATGTTTTTTTATGTAAAAATCTTGATAACATTATACGTGGACATCAGAGAACAGTACAAAATAATAAAAAGGCAGTTCATGACCCCTTTAATGATAAACATTTCAAACAGTAGTAAACTAGTAAGTACACTGTCACATGATCTCACCCTGTTGGATGTTTAATACAGTGAGAAATGTCCAGTTATTTGGCACACACACACACACGCGTATGTATGTGTGTATGTATATATATATACAGTACACACACACACACACACACACACACACACACACACAATAGTGTTATTCAAAATTGAATAGAGATTCATCTTTGTCAAAGCTGTGTTTTGTTGTTTGATTAGCATTAATGACAGTGGCAGGTATTTATAGGCTGCTGTCCCTTTAAGATCTGATGCACGGATCCGATATAATGATACACATCCAATTTCTTTCTCAGCTGTTTTCGTTCACCTAAGACATTTACCAGAATGATTGTCGAGATGGTATGTAATTTTGTGTGTGTCTTTTCAAACGCAAGGAGATGCTAAAGCACCTGTCAACATTTCGGTACCATAATCTGGGAGACCTCCGGGTGGGGTGGGTTGGGGTCTGCTAGATTGGGGTGTTTAGCGATCCATAATGTTCACATCTCGCCAGGTCATGCACTATCTGCACTATGCACTATACAATTTGTATGATGTGTCAATTGCGTGTGTAGGATGCATTTCATTCAAGATCTGGCAACTGTAAAACCTTGGAATGATTTATTTATGTGATTATTCATATAACGAGGTTTGGGCCATATGCTGCATTCAAGCCAAGTCATCATTACTGTGATTTCAAGATGACATCATGTGACGTTCTACTTAGGGTTGGGTACTGAAACCCGGTACCAATATGATGCTGGTACCTATGTAACCGGTATGTACTAGAACCGAATCAGAAAGCAGATTTCGGTGCCAT